AGCTGGATCAGAGCAAGTAGAAGAGCACATAGACTAGTAAACAAACACTATGAACCTACCAGAGCACTGAGGATTACACACATACTATAAAAGACACATGGGAAGAGAAAAGAAAGTACTAGGATTTAATGTCAAGGACTAAACCAGGACTAAACAAGGACTTCACAGCCTAAATGAGATCTGCACTAGCGTCTGGACCGGTCTTTGTTCGGTCCTATCCCCCAGAGACCCCCCCACCCACCCCCCTCCTCTTCCCGGCAGTACCCCAGCGCACGTGCTCCCAAATCGGATACAGACGAGCCTGACCCCCCCCCCCATCCCCATCCCTGTCGGACAGAGCCGCTCCTCCGCTCGGGAAGATTATCCTCTCCTGGGACAGACATTGTGCTGTGGAGGGCTCTTTGTCATCCTGGTTTTGTTTCAATTATTTTGGGTTGAATCATTTTGAAATCAGTGGTTCTCAGTCCGTGGTACGTAATGTCGCTTTATTTTATATCTTGGTTGGTGTTGCTGCTGTTGCTGTAGTGATAAAGGCAGGTCCTGTTAGATTTTCACCTGGTTTAGTCACTATTTAACCTCGTTTTAATGCTGTCTGGAACTTGGTGTAGTTCTGGATTTCTTGGAATATACCGATTAAGGTGCTGACCTAATTTTTAAAGAGCCTATATTTCACTATTTTCTATAATATTTCCTCATCTCAAACAGACCTGGAGTTGTCTTTTTGTTCATTTCACACATGTTTAGGCTGAGTTCTGCTCTCAAACACTCAGGCAGGAGCATTTTGAGGTTTGAAGCTGTAGACTGGTCATGTTTTTGAGGAAGTTGCAATGTTGTGACGTGGTTTACAGCGCACAAGGTCAATTTTGTGTAATATAGAACCTTTAAACCATGAGAAGTACTTTGTGAAATGTAGAGTATACAAAAAAATTGACAGTTTTATTTTCACTTCTACCTGGTTCCTGTCTCTCCCAGACTCTTTATCACAGGACTTGGATTCAGATGTGTGCGTTTTTGTGCGTGGAAATCGTGCAGAGGAAAGTGTTTAGTTTATTTGTGCATTTGAAGGAGAGATGTCTGTGCTTTTCATCCAGCTGGATTTAACCAAAGTTTTTGACATGTTCCATTGTGATGCTTGGACCAATCAGCTCTGAGTATCCAGTCTAATCACTTTCCGCTTGGAGACGTTTGTCCTCCTCTGAAGTGAGCTCCACACATTCATCACAGCGCTCGCTTCAAACAAATGACAGTGTTCTGAGTCAGCTTCTGTTTAATGGCTTTAGATGAGGAACTGTTGAGTCAGAGTGGACGACCTGCTGTGGAATGACTTCAGCCCGTACTGAGAGCGCTGTACCTCATTTTTACTGTCTTTAAAATGTGAGAAACACAACTTCAGTTTGCAGTGGTCCAAATGTATTCCTCACTTACCTTATGCACAGTGTTGAGGAGTAACAGATTACATGTACCGGAGTTATGTAATCAGAGTACAAATGATGAGTAACTGTATTCAGTTAGAGTTACTGTTTCAGTGAGTGGTAATTGGATTACAGTTACTTTGTTGAAATAAATGGATAACATGGCGGTATTTTCCTGTTTTCACATTTGGGGCTATATCCACTTTTCTTTTTTTTTTTTCTTTTTTTTTCTTCTCAGTAATTCCACTCATTACCGGACACTAAACCGGGTCTAAAACCAGGACTAAACCAGGTCGAAACCAGGACGAAACCAGGTCGAAACCAGGTCGAAACCAGGTCTAAACCAGGTCGAAACCAGGTCGAAACCAGGTCTGAACCAGGACTGAACCAGGACTGAACCAGGACTGAACCAGGACTGAAACCAGGACTAAACCAGGTCGAAACCAGGTCGAAACCAGGTCGAAACCAGGTCGAAACCAGGACGAAACCAGGACTAAACCAGGTCTAAAACAGGATTTAACAGGACTAAATCCTGCTGCGTGGACGTGTTTCCTCGTCTTCTATCAATAATATTTTTAATACGGTTAAGCAAAGTCTGGGCATTTTCTTTTCTTTTAGCAGACAAAACATCTTATGTGAAGATTTCCTCGTCTTTGCTTTCTCTACAGCAAATTAAGTAATCCAAAGTATTCAGATTACTTTACTCACTTTAAGTACCTTAATGGTTTACGTTACAAACTACAGTTTGGAGTATGTAATCTGTAATCTGTAGGGGAATACATTTTAAAAGTAACATTCCCAACACTGCTTATGCATTCACAGCAGCCTAATCATTCACCACAAAGAGTGGTGCTTTGTCATCCACTCTACCACGCACTTTCTGACTCTCACACAGTAAAACATTTTATAATTAAATGCAGACAGCACACAGTGGACTTATTTTGACCTCAACAGAGCTGATCTACTGATAGAAAACGTCAGGAACTGGTCCTTTTAGGTTTATAAATTGAGCTTTTCACTTCTATGAGCTGTGAACCTTAATACATCACACATTTAGATCAGTGTGTTACCATTTTTTATTCCTTTTTTTTTTTTTTTTTTTTTTGACACTTGGAGTCCTTTAGTCACTCCCCCTTCAGAGCGCTGTTGTCACACCACAATCTGTGCTCTGTGTGAAACTCCTGCACATCACATCAGGTTTGTCAAGTCGCTCTGAACAGTTTGTATCATGTTTTTGTATATTCCTGTAGAATTGTCGTGTGTGAGCGCGGGTGATGTGATCTTGTGAGTTGAACATTGGACAGAATCTTACTGCTAACCATAAGGAGGGTTTGAATAGGGTTCGGGAGAGATCACTAGATTACTCAAACATGCATGCATGACTCTAAAACCTCTTCAGGTGTGTTTGTGATGAGAGAAAAACTCTATGCGTTAAGCAAATATGCAAACTTGGTTTTGTTTTTATTTGGAAATGTCATAATGTCATAAAAATGGAATCTAGTGTGTGATAAAGTGTGGTGTGTGGGAGGATTTGCATACACATCTGTGGTACATGCTCAGACCTGCTCAGTCACACCTGCTGGAACCAAGTGTCTCAGGGCACAAAATGGAGGAATTATTCAACAGTGATCAGAAAGTTATGCACTCAAAAGCATATCTGCGGGCAGGGAGCGCAGAGGCACAGACACGTTTGCCTTTTACCTTTTCCATATTTCATTCTTCTCAAAGTTTTACATTTTAAGTTTCATTTTTCTTCTTGCAGTTTTAAAATCAGAGCTCTGTTTGGTGTTAATGCTCCTGGATGGATTTAAAATGAACATGTGAGAGAAGACGGAAATCTT